ATATATATATATATATATCTTGGTGCACACTGCTGTTACCCACATTTCATAGGTGTTTGCAATGTTCTGAGACCCGCCCTTGGCTAAGAAGGCAGAGCTAAGTCTAGGCCTGCTGGTGCAGGATTTGCCTTCTTTTCCACCTAGCAAATGGCAGGTAGTGGGAGGTTGGTCAGTCCTGGTTGCTGAGTGAACACATTTGTCGGATCTCACCAGCCAACATTTACATAGGAAAGCTGTTTTTACTTGGCTCAAGCATGTAAGTAACAATGAGTCTTACCCTGCCCCGTCCCCAATTTTTAAAAATTTCCCTTTTTAAAAAAAAGTATTTTCTCATTAGCTCATTGGTAACAGTTTGCTCTTAATTTTAGTGTATGTGCTGCCTAAATGAGCAGGAATTGGCCACAGGAATTGGCTCTAAAGTAGAGCAGTTCAAGGCATGTAGATAAGACTAACTTGTAGTGTTCTGGAAAGTTTCACGTCCTCTAAGGAAGGTCGTAGGTGGTTGGGGTGAAAATCCTGACTTCCCCTGCATTTCCTGTGTGATGCAGGTTTTCCCTTCACCTCCATGGCCTGGGCTTTTCCCAAGCGTTCCCATTCTCTTGCTTCTCAGAGTCTTTCTTCTCTTCCTAACCCATCCCGCCTGCCGGCAGATTCATCTTGAGGCGGAGTTCCGCCTGCTCAGCCAGACTGCCTGCTGGCAGCCTCCCAGCTTGCATTGTGCCCTCCCTTCCAATTTGCAGTGCTCTCCTCCCAGAAAGCTTCTCCCTCCGTCAGTCTTTCCTAATCGTCTGTTCTTTAAAACTCTTACTCCATGCAGGTCTAGAACATGAGAGAGTATGGAGACCTGATTGGAGTAGTTCTGTGTAAATGGAGAGTGCCCACTTCGGTTGGGATGTGAGAAGGTGGGCTGTAGTGTAGGGGCTGACAAGTTTCCTGGGCATCCTTCAAAGCTTTGTTTACCTCGGGTTGGGTGTAACTCACAAGAGCCAGAATACAAGAAAAACAGTATAGCCAGGCATGGTGCTGTCATCCCAGCACTGGGGAGGATGAGGCAGGAGGATCGCTGTGAGTTTGAGGCCAGCCTGGGCTACATAGTGAGTTCAAGGCTAGCCACGATTGCATAGTGGGACCCTGTCTCAACAAAACAAAGGAAGGCCATACAGCATGACAGGCTTCCCACCTCTGGGGGTGGGCAGGGGGCCATCACCATGTTCAGGCCTCGAGGCTCAAGCTTTGAGTATGGAAGGGTCAGGATCTAGGGCATGGTCCTGAGTCTGCCTGATAACCAGCCGGCGACCAGCGCAGCGCCCTGTGGTTCAGCTTTGAGCTGGTACTGATCCACCCTAGAGAGACAAACCTGCCTTGGGCTTGAAGAGAAGGCCTCTTCTTTGGCCTGAGCCCTCACTGTGTTCCGGGTTAGGTTCCTTAGCGCTAGACCCTTCTTTCCTAGCTCCAGAAGACATAACTGTTGTGCCCCTCCCCACATCTGATGAAGGCCTGGTACCCGGAGCGCATGAAGAACTTACAACTCCAGTAAGAGGACAGGGTCACTGAGACGAGTAGAGCATGCGGGAAGGCAGTGAGGCAGAGCCGAGATTTCGTGGATCAAGAGCCTAGCACCAAAGCTGGATCCGGAAGAGAAGAAACAGAAGACACATAGAGATGTGATCTCCATGTGGAACGTCCTCATGCGGGAGGCCTTTCTTTAGTTTTGAGGAAAGTGGGCAGTTGTGGCACCTGGGAGGCTGAGGCAGGGGAATCCTGGGCTACACAGACCCTGTCTCAAAAAATGAAGAAAAGAAAGAAGAAAAATAACTGAACAGCACATGAAGATTGGGCATCGTGTGTGAGTGCACCATGTGAAGAACTCAATTACAGCTTTTCCTTCAGTCTGCAAATAAATAGACCCAGAAAGGTATAAGAGATTCTTTAACTGAATGAGCACATAAACCCTGTTTATTAAGAACAAATTTAGGCCTGTACCCCAGCATTCGGGAGATTGAGGCAAGAGGGTTGTCATGATTTCAAGGCCAAGCAGTGCCATAGTGAGTTCAAGGCCAGCCTGGACTGCATGTGGAGATCCTCCCTCAAAAGAACAACAACAAAAACAAATTTAGGATCCAGGGATGTAGCTCAGTGGCTCTGTACCTGCCCGGCAAGGTCCTGAGTTCAAGTCCCCATACTGGGAGGAGAAAAAAAAAAAAACAAATTTGACTGTGGTAATACTTTCATAG